TGCTGGATCAGACACAAAGAAGAACTGAGGAATTTGTAGATGTACATAGTTAGAGTGTAGACTGACCTATGAATAATAAACTAATCATACAATCATTAATGTACATGTACATGTTCATTGTAAAGTGCTGTACATGTATACGTGTATGTATAAAATCATCAAAAAATTTATAAAGAAATAAAGCTGCCATACATTAAAGTGCTGTACAAAATACAAATTATTTAAAGAGGAGGACATTACAATTTATAAAGTATAGACCTACCATCTTCATCATAATTGCTCATGGTGTCATCAATCGTATTTGAAAACTCTAGCAGAAGGTTTCAAGTGTCTTTGGGTATTGCGAGCTCTTTTATAATGAGACTGAGAGAGAGAGATGAAATGTAACCTTTACATGTGATTACAAGTATTGTTTACTCTTAAAAATTCACAAAAATTCACACCACAAGCCCAAAAATTTGAAGCGACCAGTAAAAATAAGATTCCAGTAGGCAATGGCCATCTCAAGATCTGTAGAGAAATAAAAAGCACAAAAGATTTTAATCAATTCATACAATATACATTAAATTATACATGTACATGTATTCTCAAATTTTAGTAGGATCACTTGCAAAATTCCCCCATCAACATGTGTACATTGAAATCATTGTGTGGCAAGTTTAGCAAACATGATCCTACATGTACATGTATAATATTATGTCACTAGCCTAGTCCTTTCCTCCCAAGTTTTTGGCAACATTAAACGTAAACTGGTAGAAGTCCTTGAACTGTTGTGAGTCTTGTATCTCTCAATCAATGGTCTCACACCTTTTATGGAGTTTATCTATGGAATCACACCTAAAAGAGGGAGAGAGGGGGAGAGAGAGAAAGAATTATACATCTAATTGTAGAAAGATTATATACTGAATGTGAATCAGAGCAACATAGACTAATGTGTAACAAATAGGCAAGGAAAACTTTATCAATATTAATACAATTATTACAAAGCGAGAGTGAATGAGAGAGTGAGTGAGTGCTATCTTCAATAAAATCTTAAATGATATCAATATTTCATATACAATTATTACAGAGAGAGCAAGAGAGCGTACAGTTGTCTATGAACTATATCATACCTTCATTATTGAAGAGAAGGTCTCACTCCTTGAGTCAGTGGTGGCCTCCTTCTTAAGTAACTCATCATTTAAACTGCTAAGCCACTGCCTGTGTTACTCCTCCACCGAACAGCAAAAAGAACAGAGGATCCAACAGCAAAGGTCATCCCTGGAGAAGCATG